AGGCGGCTCGTGCTGCCTGGGGAAGGGTGACCTTGGTCTTCTCCCCTCCAGGTTGTCTACTTCACAGCCACATTCCCCTACCTGATGCTGGTCATCCTACTGATCCGAGGCATCACCCTGCCCGGAGCCTACGAGGGCATCATCTACTATCTAAAACCAGATTTGCTTCGGCTCAAGGACCCCCAGGTAGGAACCTCACTGGGGACTGTTTCCCCAGGCATCTCCTGCCCCAAACCAGATCTGGACTTTTGAAAACCTTTGATTGCTTTTTGCTGTTTAGAGGCAATCTGTGACCACTGGAGAAAAAAGTAGATAATATAGAAGAAAATTATGAAAAAGGAACTAAAAGCCTCTCGTAACCTCACCACTCACCTATAACCTCTGTTAGCATTTTAGTATATTTCCTTCCAATTTTTTTTTCTATCTGGTGTGTGTGTTTTCACGTAGTTGAGACAATTATACGTGGAGATAAATATATTTTCACTTATAGTGTAAGCATTTTCCTTGTTATTAAACCCATTTGTAAACGTCATTTTATCATTTGCATAATGTTTCCTCTGTCCCCCATCCATCCGCTCACTCATCCAGCCAGGATGTACTGCGGTCCCATAAGTCCAGGTACCTCTCTAGAGCTGGTGTGGGCAGCGGGCGGACAGACCCGGACATATGACCTCTGGGCATCCACACCTGGGGCAGGTGTCGGCTTTTACTCAGTTCTTCCCCGTTCCTGCACATTTAGGTCATGTATTTTTTTTTTTTTTAATGATTGTACAGACAGCTGTGATGAACACCTTGTGTTTAAACCTTTGACCACATCTCTGATTATTTCCTGACAGTAGTCAGACGCAGAAGTGGGATTACTAAGTCAGGGAGTACGCACCTTTTAAGGCTCTTGACCTGTGCTGTGGACTTTGACTGCCTGTGTTGGTGGGTACCCTTCCTTCTGTAGGCCCATGAGAGATTCAAGTAGAATTTATTTTAACCTTTGATAGGTCAAAGTAGTAGCATGTTGCCATTTTAATTTTTTTTTTTACGAGTGCGATGTTGGACATTTTGCCCCTCTGGACTTGTCTGAGCACATTCTTTGCCCCTCCCACTCCCCCCCACCCCCGTGGAGTCTTGGTGTCTTCTCTCTATATTTGAAGGCCGTGGCCTCTGCCCACATGGCTGCCTGGGGGCATCTGCAGGTTGAGGGCGGCCAGGTCCTCAGCTCCGCCCTGCAGACAGGCCTCCTTCTCTGGTTCACCGTCTGTGGTGAACCAACTAGAAGTTACAGTCACGCGCACCGACGTGGTGCCTGCTGAGTGCCCAGGGGAAGAGGATGCGTTAGTGGGCGTAGGCTGTAACGTGGGCTCTGCGGGGACGGATGGGCCGCTGGTTGTGGAGGTGAGGGGCAGTCACTGCTCCAGGCCCTGGCGGGCTCCCCCCATCTTCCCACCGCTTCCTCGGGGTCTCCTGCAGGTGTGGATGGACGCAGGCACCCAGATCTTCTTCTCCTTCGCCATCTGCCAGGGGTGCCTGACGGCCCTGGGCAGCTACAACAAGTACCACAACAACTGTTACAGGTGAGCGGGGCGCAGGGTCCTGGGAGGGGGCCTTCCTCTGTTGTGAGCAGGGGCCCGAAGCTGTGCAAAACCGACACTGTGGTCCCCTTTCCAGACCTGGTGTTTCTCCCTCCCTTTTTTCTCTTCACCTTCTGGTACCTGGTCTTGGGCTCCTTTCCCCCACTTCCTTTCCTCTCTCCTCTTTACCGCTTACCGTCTTTGGATGTCCCCCCACGATGGGTTTCTTTCTCCCTTTTCCTTCCCATTTTCTGCAGGGACAGCATCGCCCTCTGCTTCCTGAACAGCGCCACCAGCTTCGCGGCCGGGTTTGTGGTCTTCTCCATCCTGGGCTTCATGTCCCAGGAGCAGGGGGTGCCCATCTCTGAGGTGGCCGAGTCAGGTGGGCGCTGCTTTGCTGCCTGGGGCCGGGGAGAAGGAGGGGCAGGGGACAGGAGGCCAGGGGTCCCAGAAGCTGGGTACTGTAGGAACCTTTCAGCATCAGGCGGCCGTGCTAGGCACAGAGCAGAACGCCAAAACCAGGGGAGGGAGGAGGGAGGCGGGGACGGATGGGAGGACGGACGCACGAGTGGAAAGCGTGCTCCCCAAAGCAGCAGAAGAGCCAGCCGGCCCTCGGGAACCAGCGCACGCACGCAGGCGCGTGCACACGCAGGCGCGCACGCACGCAGGCGCACGCACGCAGGCGCGCGCACACAGGGGCGGGCCCCTGATGGCGTCTGTGCCCGGCAGGCCCTGGTCTGGCCTTCATTGCCTTCCCCAAGGCTGTGAGCATGATGCCCCTGTCCCAGCTGTGGTCCTGCCTCTTCTTCATCATGCTCATCTTCCTCGGGCTGGACAGCCAGGTTCGCCCCCGCCCCCGCCTGCCCCCGCCCGCCCTGCGACCCCCTTACTAGCTTCTGCGTCCGCCGCCATAACCTCCCCGACCCCGCTGTCCCCCGACCGGACTTCCCAGCCCTGGCCCCGGCATCCGGGGCCTGTCCTTGAGGCTGGTCGGGGGACGCCCGGCCTCCTCTTCCGGGAGGGGCCACCTGCTTTGCTCCCCCAGGCCCGACCCTTTCGCGCGCAGATGTGGACGCGCCCTCCCAAACCTTCGGGCCGCCCAGCCCCGCCCAGCCAACCCTCGCGGCTGGCACCTTCCGTGGTGGAGACGAGGCTGAGGCAGGGTTGGCCTCACCCCGGTTCTGGGCCCCATGCACTCTGTGGGCCAGTGTGGGGTTGGGGAGCGAGGAGGCAGCGGCCCCTCTTACCAGCCCCCTCCGGCCCACAGTTTGTCTGTGTGGAGTGCCTGGTGACAGCCTCCGTGGACATGTTCCCCAGGCAGCTCCGGAAGAGCGGGCGGCGGGAGCTCCTGATCCTTGCCATCGTGGTCCTGTGCTACCTGATCGGGCTCTTTCTGGTCACCGAGGTGAGTGGTGGGGGCGGCCTGCAGGCTGGTGACCCCCTGACACCCTCAGAGCCACATTCCCCTCGCCTGCCCGGCCCTTCACTGCGAGGTTGGAGGGACCACATGGCGGAACCTTCCTGTGTTGGTTCCCTCTCCTTTGGTTTCGGGTGATATAAATCAAACAAGCTGGCTTAAGCAGGAAGGTGAATTTTTTGGTTAGGAAACAGGAAAGTCTAGAGATGCTTCGGTTTCAGGCACGGTTGGATCCAGCAGCTCCAATGGCATCCTCAGGGATGCTCCCCTCTATCTCCTGGCTTCCCTTTCCTCTGGTGATGTCATTCTTGGGCAGATTTCCCTCCTGGGATGTTACAGACAGCTCTGGGCAGCTTCAGGGTTCCCTGCTGCCACCAGCCAACCCCGGGGGGATAGGGCCCTTTCCCTGAGAATTGGCCGTTGCTCTTCTTTAGGCCTGGTGCAGGGAGGGGCGCACACTCAGAGTGAGGTGGCCGCAACTCGGCAACTTCCGGAAGGTGGGGTGCTGGACAGCACATTGTATGTGCACCACAGTCCCCGGGGTCCTCGCAGATGTCAGAGATGTTGTCAGATGAGGGCCGGGAGGCTGGGAGTCAGGGACAGGCGGGGCAAACTCTTTTTGGCTGCAAGGGATGAATTCCCTGGACCGGGCAGGGTGGCATCCCAGATGGGCTTCTGTCGTCTCGTGTGGGCTGGGGCATGTCCCCTGCCCCCCGGCCGAGGTCTCACTCTGCCTCTTGCCCCACAGGGCGGGATGTACATCTTCCAGCTGTTTGATTATTACGCCTGCAGTGGCACGTGCCTGCTGTTCCTTTCCGTGTTTGAAGTGATCTGCATCGGCTGGGTGTACGGTAAGTGGGTGGGTGGGGGAGGCTTGGGGCCATGCGAAGGGCAGGATGTGCCCAGGGTGAGGACGGGCCCGCCGGTCTCTGCGGGTCTTTGTGCTGCTGTCCTGGTCCTTTTTACTTGAGGAGTTTAGCCGTTGCTGGGATCCCAGGTGTTTCTCATTACGGCAGTGGAGCTGGGCTAATGACAACGGAGTTCTTTGAAGAGTGAGAATGATTATAAATAACTGTGCACAGCTTTCTGGATGCAGAGGCTGTTGGAGGCCTTCTCCCGTGGGAATCCTAGTCAAAAGGGACCTCCAGGGCCACTTAGTCTGATCCTTCAGAGATTCCCACATGCGCTTTCAAAGTCATCACCCAGGCTTTGCTTGAACACTTCCACGGACAGGAAGCTCATCCCCGTGTTTTTGACGTAGCCTTTTCTGTTGTGGTGGTCGTGCATTTCTTTCTGATACTTTGGTGAATTCTGGCTTCCACTGACTCCCACCAACAGCGCCGCCCCCTCCGCACCGAGGAAGTCGGCCAGCGGTGCTGACCACGTGGTATCCAGGCTGTTATCGTTCCTGATGACGGCGGTGGCCTGGGGTGAGGTTAGAGGAGAAGCCTTTATGTTCCGAGCACTGCTCTGCTGAGTGCTGTCTCGTAATCTGCACCACAGCCCTTCACAGGGGAAACCTAGGCTCAGAGAGGTTGGGTCCCTTGCCTGTGCTCACACAGCAGGCAGGTGGAGGAGCCGTCATCATGCCGCAGGTCCCTCTGGCTCCACTGCACCAGCTGGGGGAACGGATTGTCAGTGTGCCAAAGCTCAGGGCAGAGAGGGTGCGTGGGTACCACGCAGCAGGGCCTCAGGACGAGCTGCGAATAGGAAGGGTTTTATCTCGCTACCCTAGGCCTTCCTCGTTGGCGTCCTTCCCTGCCCACGTGTCTCCTGCCTTTTCGCTCTGATTTCCCCACTGCTTTTCGACACTTGTTCTCAGAGAGGATCTGACAAACTCGATCACAGCGAGGTGTAAACGGCTGATAATATGTTACACCTACAGCAGCGGTATCTGCTTTTCACCTGGGGGGAGGTTAAGAAGCCAAAGGGACGACTGTCTAGCGGTGGCATTTCGCAGTGTTCCTTTTGTGGTGGTGAGGGGGTGGCTAGAGAGCTCCCAGGCCTTTCCCAGTCAGTGGCTCTTTACTTCTTAGAAGGTGAAGCAAACGTGGAAACCTAAGGACATTAAACCAAGTGCAAGAGGCAGTGTTTCCATGGCCACAGCCCAGCCCCCTTCTGTGCTTCACTGGGAGCACAGAGGGGCCCCCTGGAGTCTGGGGTGCAGGTGCCGCCCCCGCCCCTCAGCGCTGGGCTCGAGCATCGGCTCCCTTGGTGTTTTGCTATTTTTACTTGAAGCCGAGTTCACCTCCGTGATGCAGTAAGCATGTGTACACCCGCTGAGCCCCGTTTGGGCTCACACCCTCCTCTGTGTTAGGACTCGGGTCTTCATCCGCAGACCTGAGAGCAGAGAGACACTGGGAGGTTAGGGGCTCTCGGTTGGTGGCGGCCTCCCCGCCTCCAGTGTCACTCACGTGTCCAGATCCAGGTTCCCCACCACGGTGCGGGGAGGCGGACGAAGCAGGTGAGTCCTTCCCCGAGCCCACCCGCCGTCCCCTTCCTGTCCTCACATTCTCCCCCCACCCACCTGGTCAGGGGCCGACCGTTTCTATGACAACGTGGAGGACATGATTGGCTACCGGCCGTGGCCCCTAGTGAAGATCTCCTGGCTCTTCCTGACCCCGGGCCTTTGCCTGGTATGTGCCCTCCAGCACCACCACCCCCATCTCCTCCTGCCTCTAGCCATCTCGGGGCACGGGCAGAATTCTGGGGCTCCTTCCCTCCTGCGCCTGCGCAGTTACCTGCAGGGGCTGCTTCGTGCCCTCTTATGTGCTGGTTCCCCGCCCCCCCTTTTCTCGCCCGTCTCTTTGCTTTACCAGCACTACCATCTGGTCTAGTTCCTGCTCCATCCCTCCCTCCCTCCCTCGCACCTCCGTCTGTCTGTCTGCCTGCGTGATTTCCCAGCTGTTGGTCTCCCCTCCCTGCCTCTGAGCCCGCGGTCTGTGACACACTTGCAGAGGGAGCCTCTGCTCTCCATCTCTAGAGGCGCCAGTGTGTTGGTGTTTAACTGCTCCGTCCCGAGGAGAGGGTTTCACGGGCTCCTCCTGCATCTGCGTCCTCCCGCTGTCTTTCTAGGCCACTTTCCTCTTCTCCTTGAGCAAGTACACACCTCTCAGATACAACAACGTCTATGTGTACCCGGCCTGGGGATACTTCATCGGCTGGCTCCTGGCTGGCTCCTCCATGAGCTGCGTCCCACTTTTCATCGTCGTCGCCCTCCTGAAGACCCAGGGTTCCTTCAGGAAGGTAGGGGCTGGGGAAGTGGCGCATCAAAGGAGGGCACCGAAGGGGCTGGACTCTGGGCAGGACACCACGGCCGGGCCAGCTCTGAGTGCCGGGCTGCCCTTCGGTCTAAGGGAATCTTAAGGAGAAGGACCTTTGAAGAAGGGCTTCATTTTCAGAAATGTTCAAGAGTCCTAGAGTCCTAGACCTTCAGCATCTGACCTCCAGCAGATCATCTGGGCAGGTTGACCAAGGGCAGCTGTCAAGGGGTTAAGGGTGAAAGTGAGTCACAAATAAGAACACAAGGTGCCAGACGCAGGGGGTCACAGAGCACAGATTCCTGCTCTTGGAAACTGGTGACCAGCAGCCATGGTTCATCCACACAGGCTCCCGGCTTCTCTCCTCCTCTCAGCCCTGCCTGCGAACCATATGCAAAAGGCTCCCTGTTTAGGGTTCGGACATGTCTTCCTGGAAGGGATAGAGCCAGTGTCCCACAAAGACATTACATTTGTGGAAATCTGTCTCGCCCACAAGTCACAGAAAACCCAATGTGCAGTAAGCAAACGGGCTTGGTTTCTTCTTACATGTGAAGAGGACCAGAGACGGGGCCTCCTGGCATTTGGTCCAGCTGCTTAAAGAGGCCGTTAGGGACCAGACGCTTCCTCTATTCCTGGACTTCCATCCCGGTCATGTTGTCTTTTCATCATCATGCTTACCACCGCATGGTCACGAGAAGGTTGTCATGATTCCAGTCATCACGTCTGCATTCAAAGCAAGAAGGAGATGGCACCAGTAACAGTAGTCATTGTAGGACTACTACTAGGAGGAACAATGATAGACACTCACTGAGCGTGTGATAATAGCAGCAGTAAGAATAGTAACAATAAGAACAAAATAGACGCTCGCTGATCACTTTACCCTGTGCTGGGCACTGTTCTCTGAGGTGTGTCTCTCACCTTACAGACGAGTCACAGTGTGGTTCAGTGGGGTGCCTACGACCGCGCAGGCGTCAGTAAGAGCCAGGACGGGAGCCAGGCGGTTCACACGCTCAGTCACACGTTACTGCCTCTTCTCGCTTCTCGAGCTCTGTGCCCTTTCACTCACTTACGCTGAACTGTATGCTGGGCCCTGGGGACACAGACACGAGGACACGTCTTTGCCTCTCTTGCCACCAGCACCACTGACTCCTCTTCTCCCTGCAGCGCCTGCGGCAGCTCGTCACCCCTGACCCCAGCCTGCCACAGCCCAAGCGACACCTGTGTCTGGACGGTGGCAGCGGCCGGGACTGCGGGCCCTCCCCAACGAAGGCAGGTCTCATGGCCGGGGAGAAGGAGACGCACTTGTAGGATGTGGCTGGAAACCAGGTAGCTACTGAGCCAGGAAGCTGGGTCAGGGCCCCCGTGCCCCCGGCGGACAGCCTTCACCTCTGCCCCCTCCCGCAGCCCTGCCGAGAAGCTCTGTGATGTCCCAGTGGGCTAGAGACAGTGCCGCCGGAGCCTGCCGTGCCTGTTGGAACACCCCGTCTTATCTGTGAAGGAGGTGGTCTTTCCGGAGCCCACCGTCTGGTTAGAACAACTGCAGTGTGCGACAGCGGATCACCCACTGTAGGGAGGCTTCCTCTTAGCACTTAGGATCTCTGTGCCTGGGGAGGGTAGCGCCCATAGAGATACACGCCATGTTGCATGTGACAACTGAACACCCCACGCTGGGTCCTGACGTTCCACTGGAGGGCTTCCTCACCTGGCTTAGTGTCCTGGAGCCCGCGGGAAGGAACCAGAGAAACGGCCACCGTTGTCTTGCATTTTCCCGGAGGCGGTGTCACAAGGTGTCCCCAGCTCCAGCCCTAGTTCCACGCCCGCCTTGCAGTGGTGTCCTTAACGCACAGAGCATTGGGGTGGCAGGTGCTCAGGATGGCCCCCACACTTGGCAAATAGGCACGACCATGGACCTGCACCCAGGACAGACATGGCTAGTCGGTCGCATGTTCTGTCCCAGCTGATGCCTTCCAGAGACAGTGCCCCCGGCAGCTCCCGACCCCGACTTCATGGATGAGGAAACTGAGGAACCCAAGGGACAAAATGATTTTTCAAGTTCATGAAGCTCCTCGGGGCCAGAGACACGACTAAAGCCGGGTGTCCTGCTCTCAGGCCGGTGTCCCTCCCACTGCCCCCTCCTGCCTTGTTAACAAGCACCCATGGATCACCTGCCGTGTGTGCCAGCCTTCTTTCTGTTCATTGTGGTTCTTGGGGTAGGAGGGAGAGAGTCCCCCTCGGGTGGGGGGGGATGTGAGCAGCCCGCCCATATTGGCAGCCCTACCCTGGCAGCTCCTCCACTAGCTCATACCCCTCTGACCGGATTTCCTCCCTGGACTTTGGTCTTCTTCCCACTTTCCACTTCCCCTCCCCCAGGGTTTGCCTGGGCATCTGGGAGAGCCACCCCCTGACTCCCACGGAGAGAGGTGTGGGGTGCTTCTCTCCCCAGGCCCCTGCCAAACCGCGCCAGACCTTTCCCTGGCTGGGGAAGGCTTCCTGGAGGAGGCTCTGTGGTCTTGTGTTCCAACGGCAAGGTGGGGGGGGGTCTGTGGGGGGTAGGCCACTTCTGGACAGTGTCCTGGGGAGAACCTGGGGTCTGGAAGAAGGGCCACCGCCTGCAGTGATGCGAAGGTAGGAAAAGTCACTGCCTGGTGACTGGAGGAAAAATCTGTGGTCCAGCCAGGATGAGCTCCAGCCTGACAGCCCCGGGCATCCTCAGATCATCTGCCATCCTTTGCCCAGATCTGCGAGGGCTTCTCAGCTTGTGAGAATAGGGGCGCTGGCACCCTGGGCACAAGCAGATGTCCAGACCCCTGGGTTCTGAACGTTCCCTTCTGCCTCTTTCTGGACTGCTCGCGCACTGGTACTCACTTTTTTTTTTTAATTTATTATTTACTTATTTGTTCATTTTTGGCTGCGTTGGGACTTCGTTGCTGCGTGTGGGCTTTCTCCAGTTGTGGCGAGCGGGCGCTACTCTTCGTTGCGGTGCGTGGGCTTCTCACTGCGGTGGCTTCTCTTGTTGCAGAGCACAGGCTCTAGGTGCGCAGGCTTCAGTAGTTGTGGCGCGTGGGCTCAGTTGTTGTGGCTCGCAGGCTCAGTAGTTGTGGCACACGGGCTTAGTTGCTCCGCAGCATGTGGGATCTTCCTGGACCAGGGCTCGAACCTGTGTCCCCTGCATTGGCAGGCAGATTCTTAACCACCACGCCACCAAGGAAGTCCCTGGTACTCACTTTTATTGGCGAGTCAGTGGGTAAAGAAGGAGGTCCAGCAGAAGGGGATGGAGAGGAAGTCTGCGCCAGCCAGATCGCCCTCATTTACCAAACTGGGGACCTGAGTGGGGCAGGCATGGTGCCCTCTGCTGCCGCCTAGTGGCATAAGGGAACAGTGCCGCCTCCCCAGCCCTGCCTCCCACCTCCTGAGCCCCTTCCCCAATGCCCTCGCTGGACAGATGGACAGACTGAGCATTTCCCCCTCCGCGTGCAATCTGTCACCCTCCGGAAATGAAAACTTCCTACACCCCCTCCCCGTGGCCCCGACGGGTGTGCCCAAGAGAGTCGGCTGCCTTTGGGGCAGCCCAGTTGCCAGGGACGCGGGGTGAGGGCCAGCAGGCTTCTCGGCCACCGGCCACCTGCCCCGAGTGCTGCATGCTGAGCAGCCAGGGCGCCACATCACCTGCTACTGGCAGTTGGGCAGCTCTGTGCGTGGGTGGCGCACAGGCTCTCTCCAGCTCGCTGGGCCCCGGGCCTCACGTCTCTGTCTCTGCACACTGTTCACAGCCCCCGCCATAATTCACCTGCTCTCTCAGCGGCCCTGATCCCCGCTTTACACTCACAGCCTCTCTGCTCTGGCATGGGGACTGCTGAAGGCCTGTGTCTGTAACATCCCTCCCTCTGACTGCTTTCCTGTCCTGGCACTCAGTACAGCCTCTGACCCGTGAGTCCAAAGGCGTCAGGATGGGTGGGTGTGGGCTGGAGGGAACAGAGCAAGGGAAGGGGCTTCAGGCCGCTGCACAGCTCATGGGAACCCGCTCGTATCAGGTCCACTGCATGGGCAGGGAGCAACTGTTTCAACTCTTTAAAGTGCCCAGAGCACTGATTCAGGGGTGTGAGGGTGTGTGTGTGTGTGTGTGCATGCGTGTACGCGCTCGTGTGCATACGGAGCAAGTGCAGGTTATAACTTCGGGTGTTTTCGTCTCATCTCTGGCGCTGAGTTTTAAACTGATGGCCTGAGCGGGCAGCTATGATTTGTTTGGCCAGTACGGCATTTAAAAAAAAATCTAAAGTAAATGCCTTAGGCCCTCTCCATTTAGCCACAGGCTCCACCACTCCCTACTACCCTTATCCGACCTTCTCACACATTCATAACCCGTGCCCTGGTGGAACAACCCAGAAACCTTGCTTGAGCAGAAGCGGGAAGCACAGGCCAGTGGCCTCCGGAGCCCTGGTGCCTCGGAAGGGGGTAGTTGTCAGACAGCCACCAACCCCAGCTTGTTCACGTGTGGACTCCCATTCAGTAGAGCCTTTCATGCTGTTTATTAATCCCGGGTCAATCCCCCTCCCACCAGGCCCTTCCCTTTCCCAAAGAAGGGTGCTGGCTAAGTTTATTTACAAACTAGGTCTAAAGTGTCAGGCCACAGAGCCCCACCCCCCACCCCGCGCCATGGCAGAGTGGACGCCAAAGCCCAGAAGAACTCGGCTGGACTTTCTGCAGATGGGGGTCACCTCTGTCTCCGACCCCATCAGTCCATCCAGATGTGCTCAGTAATCATCCCCCCCCTCCTTTATTTTAGGCAGGTGCATCTTTACCTGACAGGCGCTCCTCCTCTCTGTGTCCCCGCTTTCCTGGTGCCTGGAGCTCCTCCTGGGAATCCGCCACCACCCACATCCTCCCCAGGCTGGGCTTCCTGCCGAGCTAGCTCTCCAGGGCCACCGGTGGTGTCCCCTGCACTCACCTCGGTCCTCCCGTATGTCCGCCTTGCCGAGGCTGAGCCTTGGTGCTGGCTGGGCTTGGACTCTCCCCTCCTGTCTCAGCTGAGAGCCCCTCCCTCTGTCCGGGTGCAGGTTGCGCTGTGTAGGAGTAAGCTCAGGTGTGCTCGGCCCCGCACCCCCTGCCCCCGGGCTGGGAGAGCTCTGGGAGCTGAGGAGGGCCTTGAGCTCTGCTGAGACTGGGGCCCCTAACCCTTCGTAAGTGCACTCTGCATGTGCAAGGTTGTGGTCTGTGTGTGTGAGGCCGGAAGGGCACCTGACCAGGGCAAATTGCCCCCCTACCCAGCCTGCCATCGCCCTTTCACAGCTTTTCCCACCCACTCCACACAGAGCGCCACGAGAGAGGAATGGCCTGGGCTCCCCCTCCAGCTCCCCAAACCACCCTCCAGGTCCAGGCCACCTTGTGGCAGACCCTTAGCTTCTGGTCGGGGCCTCATGCTGCTCTGCCCCCCTGGGGACAGAAACATCAGCTGTGCCCTCCCGCTCTGTCCCCGTGCTGCCCAGGGATGCAGGCTTTTGGGCCTCAGGTCAGGACCTCCCCTCCCCCCAGTCAGAGAGGGAGAATGCAGGCCATTCAGCCTGTGAGCCTTGTAGGGCCTCAGCTGCCGAGGTGAGGGGACTGGGCTTGGGAATGGGATTGGGGGCAGGAGAAAGGAACGGGATCATGTCTCGGCGGGGCAGGGGGGAGGCAGCGGGACACAGACTTGGAGGCCTGGAGGAGAGAGGTGTGGGGAAATATAATCACATAATCACAGGGCTAGAGCTCAGCTCCCTGGAAAGGCCTGCACCTCATCCTCCAGTGGCCAGGGGTGCAGAAGGAGCTCCCTGGGTAACGTTGCAGCCCCTCCACCTGCTGGCCCCTCAGGCCTGGTAGCCAGCCTCCAAGACAGCCCGGTGACCCTCAGGGATGTGGATGGACTGCAGGTGGGTGACTTCTGCAGTGGGTCTAGAAGCCACTGAGGCATCCACCTTGATCTCTCCAATCACTCACCCTGGGAAAAGCCAGTTGCCATGCTGTGTGAACATTCAAGCCGCCCAATAGAGAGGCCCCCATGGAGCCACCCCCAAGAATCCGCCAGTGAGTGAGCCACGTGGAAGTGGATCCCGCAGCCCCAGTGAGCCCGCCGATGATTATGGGCCTGGCCGACAAAGACTGCGACCTCATGAGGGGGCCCTGAGCCGGAAACGCCCTGCCAGGTGGGTCCTGAATTCCTGACCCAAGTGAGAGAGAGTGAACCGTATTGTTGTTTTAGCCACTGAGTTTTGGAGTAACTTGTTAGGCATCTTCGATAGCTGATACAGCCCCCCGGCTTCCCCGGCTACATGAAGCACCCTCTTTGAGGGTCTGGGAAGGGGCGGCCTTGCTGCTGTTCTTCCTGCCTGAGCCCCTTGTCTTCCTCTACAACCTCACCACTCCTGACCCACACAGAGCCCTCCCTGACCCTGGCCTTGCCCTGTTCTGTCTGCTCTGGGGCCGGTGAGGGCCTGCTGCCCTCAGCCTCACATGCCCACTCCCTGATGACCCAGCGTGCCTGGCTTCCCTGCAGGGTTAGCTGCTCAGCGAAGTGACAAGGGCTGACTGGACCCGACAGGGGTGAAAAGCTTGTTAATCACCCATCAGGAAGACAGTGCGGCTGAGGCTGGCTGGTGCCTGGGCCCCGGGGCCCTGCATTCTAGTACTTTCTGCTTCCAGTCGGACCGCCAGCCAGCACGGCCAGGTCACTCGCTCTCGTGGTCTGAAGGGCCCTACTGTCATGCAAGGGGTCCAGGAGGTGAGCACAGAATTGCCAGGTGATGCCACAGAGAGAGAGGGGAGCCCTCGATGGCAGGGGTCCCTCCGCAGGGTCAGTGCCCAACCCCACTGCTGTAGCAAGAATCCAGCCAAACTCCTGACGCAGCTGCATTCTGAGGCTTTGCTGCCCACACCATCTCACCGAAAGGGCCTGGCCCTGAGGCCAGAACTTCCACGACCCACGGTCACCAGCAGTGGACAAGCCCCTCCCAGCAAGACATAGACTCCCAGCTGCAGGCGTAAGTGCAGGTAGCCGGTCCAGCCTCAGCAGTGCATTTGGATCTGGGTCTGTCGTACTGAGGAGGGTCCAGGAGGAGGGTGGGGACAGGGACAGAGTGTGGCCAGAGCAGGCCAGTGGGCCAGAGGAGGAAGGCCCCTCACCAGCTGCAGGCTTTTCCTCTGAATTAATTCTAAATTTCCCCCTCTTGATGCTGTAGGGTTTTTTACATAGATAATCAGACTGTCAGGAAATACTGGTACTTTATTTCTCTGATCTTCACTGCTTTCATTTTTTTTCTCGTCTTCCTTCACTTGGTAACTAGAAGTGGTGGTGGCAGGCGTCCTTGCCTCTTTCCCAGTTTGAAAGGAATTCTAACGTTGCACCACTGAGTAGGGTTGTTGTTGTAGATTTTTGATAGATACGATTTATTTGGCTATGAAGTTTTCTTCCAAGGTTGCTGTTTTTTTAAAAAATCAAGAATAAGTGTTGATTTTTAGCGATTGCTTTTTCTACATCTTTTGAGAGGATCATATTGTTTTTATCCTTTAGTCTTTAATGTGGTGAATGATATTGATTGATTTTTAAAACATTTAACCATCTTTTAATTCCTGGGGCAAACCTTAATTTGGTCATTGTGTATGGTAGTTTTGTAATTCAATGCTAGATTCAGTTTGTTAATATTTTGTTCAGAATTTGGCATTTATGCTCACAAGCAAGAGTGGCCTAGAGTTTTCCTCTCTCATATTGTCTTTGTCTGGTTTAGTTTTTGTTTTTAAGGCTACACTAGACTCATAAAAAAGGCATTTGGGAATTTTCTCTTCTTTTTCTCTTCTCTGAAAGAGTTAACAAGAGATCAGAACTGTCTGTT